AGAAGCTTTTTAAAAAAATTTATTTGTGCATTATAATTCTACATAAAGTGGGATTAATAGGCCATATTTGTACATGCACATAACATAATTTGATCAGTCTCCTTTCTCAGTGCCTTTGCTTTGCCCCCCTCCTTCCCTTGATCCGCTTGCTCTACTCTATTGATCTCTTCCGTTACTATTTTAGTTAGTGCATTATAATTACATATGCAAGTGGAATCCATTGTGCTATGGTCACATATGGTCATAGCGCAGATTTGATAGATTTCACTCCCCAGTACTTCCCAGGTCGTCCTTCCTCCCTCCCTCTCCATCCATCCCCTCCCACCACTCTATTGGTCTTCCTTCTATTTTCATGAGATCTGTTTTTTTGGGGTTTTTTTTTTTTTTTTTCCAATTCCCATTTGCTCTTTCTCTCTCTTGCTTCCACACAGGAAAGAAAACATTTGACTTTGAGGAGGTCTTTCTTTAAACATTAGGGATATAGCATTTATTAATATATTTTGCAAATTTCTTTTTTAGTTTGTCATTTTTTAAAAATTTGCTCTAATTAGTTGAACATGACATCAGAATGCACTTGGATTCATTGTACACAAATAGAATATAACTTTTCATTTCTCTGGTTGTATAGTTTCTCATTTAAAAAAAAATGCCTTTTTTTTTCTTGCCTGCCATGAAATTTATTATTCCTAGGTGATCAAATTTGTCAATGTTTTCTTTTTACTGATTCTAGCTCTTATTAGAAAACCTTCCCAGTGTCCAGGTTAAAGAGAGCTTTAGATATTTTCTTCTAGTACTTCTGTATTTTTTTTTCTTTTTACATGAAGATGTATATGGAGTTTATTCTCATATGTGGTGTGAGGTACTATCAAATCGTGCATTTTCCCAAAGGGCAAATCAGGGCCTCAGTACCATTCATTACACAGACATCTCTACCTTAGTGATTTGAGATGTTGCCTTTGTAATAAAGTTCTAAAAGTGGTTGGGTCCATTTCTGGCTCTGTGTGCCATTCTGCTGGTTCTTGTACTCAAGCAATGTGCTGCCCTGTTTAGTTATGAAGCCTTTGTGGTGTCTTAACCTCTAGCAGGACTAATCCCATGTAGTAGCTTCTCTTTTTAAACGTTTCCTGACTGCTCTCATGTATTTGTTTTTCCATGTGAACTTTGCTTGTACTTGTTGAGCAATTCTGTGTAAAAACAATGTTTCCATGTGTTCAAGTCTACTTCAATTTGTAGAATGCCTTTTCTCAAATGAAGTTTTATACATTTCATGGTAAATTTCCTCTCCTGAATTCTCAAGTGCTTTTCGTCATTTTTGTTGGTAAATGGCGGTTTCTCTACTGCTCTTGCTTCCTACTGGTAATCATGTCTATGAAGGTTATTAATGATTTTATCTATTGATAATGAGCCCTGCTTCTTGACTGAATTCCATAATCTGAGTATTGAGGGACTTTAAACAAGCCTGTCCCAACCCCACGGTGGAAATAAGATTGTCTTCCTTAAACCCAGACTGGGTGGCATGGTTGTAATTAAATTATGTGAAGTCTTTTTCTGCCACATTTCAAGTATAATTTGTAGATACTTATAATTTTTTTTAGAAAAATAATATTAATCAGATTATATTACTTACTACTTAAGTGAGTTTGAATGATTTAAAACTTTACTAACACAATGGGTAGAGGATAAGAAGGTATTTCATATAATTTTTAGATTTCCAAAAGGCAGTATTTTTTTTTTCTTCTTTAAAGTCTAACGCTTTATATGTTTAAATGCATTAACTAAGGATAGTAAACAATTAAGCACCTAACTGTGTTGAAAATGCAATTGCACATTTAGGAAAATCCTCCCTAATTGTGAAGATGTTTCTGCACTCTGATAATCATTTCAATGGCTCTTTAATCTCTTTGTCTGCATCCTAATGAATGCAGTGGGGGCTTCTAATTAAGGGTAGAGCTCTGGATTTATTAACACCTACTGCCTAAATCTCAAAGCCAAGCATGATCCAAGGGAGAAGTTACATCCCAGAAAGTAAAATACTATTGCAAAACTTATCTGCTGTTTGTATTTAATGTCTAGAAATCAAAACCTGAAGGACATAACCGGAAGTGTGCCTACTCCAAGTAAGCCTTGAAGCCTGGCTCCTTTTTTTTTTTTTTTTTTTTAATTCTGGCACTGGGGCCTTGTTTAGAGTCAACTGAATGAAAAAGTAAATAAAATATATCTCAACATATTCTTCATAGGCATCACTGGTGAAGGAAAATAGATTATTAAAAGCCAATTGGTGATTTCAACAAAGTCAAAGCAAAAGGGCATTGAAGATATAGAGTATCAAAGAGGGTAACTGCTGATTCATTTGTTCACTTAAATATCTTTTTTTTTTTTTTCATTCTTTGGTGTTGGCATTAGTTTAAATAAAATGCTAGCAATATAGCAGTGAAGAGATGACTCCTTGTCCTCCTGAACTTTTGCATTATGCAGGGAAGGGATGAAACAGAAACGATTAGCTGAAGTTTTGGTGACTGTCAGTTATCTGGACTTCAATTAAAATCCTGGGGTCTTTTGAGCAATTCACAAGGTTCCACAGGAAGGGAAAGTCCATCTGCCTGGGAAGCTTCAGTTAACCGGATATGACCACACGTCAGGTGGAGTGGGAGCCCTGAATACTGGATAGGATGTGAAGACAGTGGAAACCAGGTGGACTGGCAAGGAGGCCCTAGGGACTGTGTCCACAGTTCTAAGGGTTATTCAAGCGAAAAAATGGTGGAATGAGCTGCTGTTGAGGTAGGGTCCACGTGGTTTATGCAGGAGGTTAAGATGTCTGGAGAGAAGGGGAGGGAACTTTCTCAAGTAGTCATGGTGGAGAAGGATAGTGAGAGTGACTCACAGAGGTTGGGTTGTCTGTTTCCTGGGTACCTCCCTCCCTCCCTCCCTCTTTTTTTTACACCTCCTTTCTTCCTTCCCTGTCAGAATAGCTTTCTGCCAAGAGGGCACATTGGTCAGACTGGGTCACCCCAGTCCTCAGCTGCAACCAGGCTGGGAGGGGCCTCCCTTCAAGCGTCTTTCTTCTTGCCTAATATTTGAAGGATACTTTGGTTGAGTATATAATTTTAGAATGGAAATTTCTTTTTCAAAATGCTGAAGGGATTTCTACATTGCCTCCTAGGCTCTCAGGTGACAGGAAATTTAATCCATTCCCATATACACATATTGACTTGTTTTATTCTCAAAGAGTTCAGAATCTCCTCTTTACCCTCAGTGTTCCAAAGCTTCCAAATGCACTGCCTCGCATGGGTCTCGTACTCATTAGGCAGAACACTCAGTGGCCCCTTTGATCTGTCAGCATGTGTCTTTCTATTCTGGGAATTTTTCCTGCAGCATTTCCTTCATAACCACTTCCGGAACTCTTCTCTGTTCTTCCTGGCTCTTCTGACATTCGGATGTAGGACGTTTTTGGCAAAAACCTCTAGTTTTGCTACCCTTTCCTGTTTTCCATCTCTTCGTCATTGCCCCTACTTTCTGGCTAATTCTTTCCATTTTAACTTACATTTCCTTTCTTATCTTAGATGCATGATTTCCGAGAGCACTGTGTTGTTCTCTGAATTTTTAAAATGCCTCCTGTTCCAGTTTCTTTTAATTATTAATTTTTTAAATTTATATATGACAGCAGAATGCATTACAATTCATATTAGACACACAGAGCACAAATTTTTCATATCTCTGGTTGTACACAAAGTATATTCACACCAATTCGTGTCTTCATACCTGCACTTAGGGTAATGATGTCCTTCTCATTCCACCCTCATTTCTACCCCCATTCCCCCTCCATTCCCCTCCTACCCCTCTGCCCTATCTAAATGGATAGAGTTAGAGAAGATAATCCTAAGACAAGTTAGCCAATCCCCAAAAACCAAATTCTGAATGTTTTGTCTGATATAAGGAGGCTGGTTCATAGTGGGATAGGGAGGGGGAGCATGGGAGGAACAGATGAACCCCGTTCCAGTTTAATGAGTGCAAAATCTTCTGTTGTCTTTCTGCTGATTTTGCTGCTAGTTCCCCACTGTCTTGTCTTTCCTGAGCCTCAGTCCTGTTTATTCCAGTTTGCTTCCGTCTCTCCCTCATGGCAGAAGTTTTCCTGGAGTATCTGGGAATCCCTGGTGGGCTGCTCATATTTAAAAACAAAGCACCAAGAGATGATGTCACTGCCTGAGAGCACAGGTGGCCTCTCTGGAAATACCAGTGGGCTGCTTCCCTGGGGAACACAGTGGTCATGGTCAGTGGGTCAGTACTCTTGGGGTTCCCTGGCCCTGTTGGAGGTATAAGACCCAACTTTCTGGCTAGTTAGGGAGGATGACATCTCACCTTTTAAGATGTAAAATTACACTATTTCCAGGATCCTGAGGCAGGGGAGGGAGTTGGAAGGGGCCAACTGCCTCTTGTCTATACTCCTGATCAATGCCATTATAGTCTGTCTCACCAGTGCCCCACCTTCCCTTCACGATACCCGTGCCTTGAATTCCCAGATCCTTGAGGGGTTCTGTGGTGCTGATGGAGTGGGCTTTGTCTTCCCCCACTATCAGCTTAGGATTCCACCTTCCCTAGTCCACAAAGTCAGTTACTCCATGGCTAACAAATTTTTCTGTGGTTATTGACTATTCTTTTTATAGTTTTAGATTGAAGCCTATTTTTATATTTTTGGTACTGGGGATTGAACCCAGGGGCACTTAACCACTGAGCCACATCCCCAACCCTTTTTATATTTTATTTTGAGACAGTGTCTTGTGAAGTTGCTTAAGGCCTCGATAAGTTGCTGAGGCTGGCTTTGAAATTGTGATCCTCCTGCCTCAGCCTCCTAAGCAGCTGGAATTATAGGGGTGTGCCACCGCATCCAGCAAATCTAATTATTTTTTTTTTAAATCCCCCTTCTGTAATTTTAGAAGAATTTCCAAGGAGTAAGAGAAGGAAAATGAGTGATTATTACATTGTATTCAGCTGGGAGACTCCAGTTCTTTTCATTTTCATATATACACATTCATCTGCATTTACACAGAAGCAGATGTGTGAACCACTTTATTAAAGATGTACAGATAGAAGACTGTGAGCAGGAAGCTAGGCACATGATATTTCATCTCTTTATCTTTGATTTGTAACTCTCCCACATTGGTTCCCTCTAACTGTCATGTTCCAAAAACCTCAATAAGAATGTTTCTTTCCAATTTACCATATTTTTATAAAAGTAAACTTGAAAATGTCTACCTTCATAAAATAGACTACTGCATCCCGAGAAAAAGCACAGAAGAAGAAAAAGGCAGGGAATAAATATCGTATTGCATTTTGCCTTTTGATCTAATGCCTGCATTTTGGCCTGAGAAGAGTTAGGCCCTTCACTTGGGCTCATGGTGTCTTTAGTGGCCTATACTCTGGCTATTTACTGCTTCTCCTTTGCTGTGCAATTTCTCTGTTTGATTTTAGGCACTTCATTTAAAAATCCGAGAGCTGAACAAATCTCTATTCAAAAAATATTTGCTATCAGCTTATACTTTTAGGTTGTGTTCACTTGAGCTCAGCCAGTCTGGATGACACAGACTCACACACCTTTGACCTAGATTATTTAAGCTAATACTTTTAAGAACACTCTGTAGTAGAAATTGTTTTATTCCCATTTTACAGATGAAGAAATGGTCATCAGATTCTACTCTTTCTTCCTGCAAAATTCATCCTCTTGCTCTGCCCAGTTTCTGGGATCCCAGAGGAGAACAACAGGAGGTGCTATGGAACCCGTCCTGGACTTGGGCCCCAGCCTTCACTGGCTTTGAATTCCAGGGCTGCTTCTCACTGGCTGTGTTAACATCTGCATGTTATGCAAGTACTGGGTACACTGGCTGGTTTCATTACCTGCAAGATGTGTAGAGCGATATGCATTGAAGATTAAGGCATATAAAGAAGCCAGTCTAGACTCCACAGCAGATAATAGATATCTGTTCCTTTCCTCTCCCTTGCTTCACTTGGAGTGATGGGGGTGACATGGAGCTGGAGCCTGCTTTGGGGAGGGAGATGGAGAAGAGAGCACTGGGGGAAACCCTCTGTGGGGGAGGGTTGAGATGTGAGGCCTGGTCCCATCCTGAGTGCCTGGTTAATGACCTAGAAAGAACACATCAGGGTACTTTTCCATAAGGCCTGTACTGGGCAGTGCTGCTCAAGAGCTCCTCTCCCAGCCCCTGGGGTACTTGTTACATAGCTTTTTGAAAGAGGGAACCTATAAGGAACTAAGTGGGTCTGGGCTGTTGGTGAGGCCTAGGGAGAAACCCTCTGAGGACAGGAAATAGAGGTGTGGGGTTGAGAACTGTCAGGGCCCAGAAGGGAAGGGGAGGTGCTGGGGGGGGGGCATGGAGCCCAGGAACTTTCCTCAGTGGGGACTTGAGTGATTTCCGGTTTTGGCTCATGCAACAGGTACTCATCCACTGAGCGTGCAGTCTGAGGCAGCCGTGGGCCTGGGAGGAAGGGGTGGAAGGTGCCAAGGGAGTGGGCGGCGGGTTGACTCCCTCCAGTGGGATCCCCCCTAGGAGCAGCACAGTGAGCTCCTGGGCCAGTGTTTGACCTTTGTCCTCTGATCTCCTTGTCAGACCACAGGGAGAAGAATCACCTTCAGAGTTAAGTGATTTAGAGTTGTGAGGTTCAGAGTTGAGGCCTACAGGTGTCCTCACAGCCTGCCAGGCTCACAGTGCTCGGTGCAGGTTAGGGATTTTTATGTGCCAGAGGGACCAGAAGATCAGACTTGAACATCTGATGAGTGTCACTGCAAGATGTCAGAGGCCCTGTCTCCACTGGCTGGCGGGATCCTTCGAGGGTGGATCCTCGAGTGGATCCCAGACCTGGTTCCCACTCCTGTCTTGTAGGGCTCTGTCTTTCTTCTCTGGTTCCTTCTTGGCATTTGTTCTTAGGCCCCTCCTTTTGGGGACAGAGTCCACAGTGCAATGGGAGTGACCCAGGTCTGAGGGTCCAGCTTCTGCAGTGCCATGGACTTGGACACACCCCAGTGGTGACTCTTTTCAAGCCTGTGAAGTTGGGGGGGGGGATTTTAAAGGTTACAAATTTTGAGTCACAGCAAAATTATCCGAGAGAACACTCAAGCCCTACTTCTATCTGAGGACCCTGAGGCATGGTAAGGGCCTGTGACTTGACCACCTGGGTCCCAGCCAAGGTGAAGACAGGACTAGAGTGGAGCTCTCCTGGGATTCTAGAATCAAAACACCTCTGCATATTCCATGGTCCAAAATTTACTGATTTTACAAATGGTAATGCTGACTTTCTTGCTTCCTAAGTTGTATATGGAAAGGTATGGTGTGAGAGTTTTGTGGCCGTGACAAAGTGCCTGAGAAAAATAACTTTAAGAAGTAAATATTTATTTTGGATTACCATTTCAGGGGTTTCAGTGCAAGGATGGCTAGCTCTATTGTTTTGGGCCTAGGGTAAGGCAGAACTCATGACAGAGGGAATGCAGTGGAGAAACCCACTCACTTCATGGTGGCCCAGAAACAGAGCTCGAGAGGAGACAGACCCTTCAGGGCACAATCCTCCACCCTCTCCCCCAAGTAACCTCTTGTTCCAACTATGTTCCACTATGTTATCACCTCCCAACAGTGCCACAGCTATGAAACCATCAATAGATTGATCCATTAATGAGCCCAGAGCCCTGGGGACCAAGTGTTCAACACATGAGCTTTTCAGGTCCCCACCACAGCAGCAATCAGCAAAATATACTCACTGAGTTACTGAATGAACAAAGCTCCTAAGAGTGGCCCTGGAGTGGGAAGGAATTTTCCCAGGTAATGACTCATTTTCTTTAGCAGAGAGGGGAACATAAAAAGGTTCTCACTGGTAGCTGTTACTCACTACGAACACAGGAGGTCTCCACTGCCACGTCTTGGCAAATGACCTTGGTCTTCCTTGAAAGCTGTCTGCACCTAATTCTCACAGACCGGCAGCGTCTAGTCTTTAAAGCCCAGGACAAAAATAGAAAATGTGCCTTCACTGCCCTGGGAGCCTCATTTTACCACATGTTCCACTCTGAGCTAATGTTCAGACTTCCATTTTGTCTGGAAATGCAAATTTGACACGAGAAGACCATGTAGGTTAATATTCAGTGGCTACTAAGTGGGAGATATAAAAAATATGGGAAACACCCAACAGCAATCAACTCCCCAGAGAAATGATTTCCTGTGTTGCAAAGGGAGGCTTAGGAAGCAAAGTCCCTGCTGCCAGGGCTGTGAAGGCCCACGTCATTTAAAAAGAAATCCAAAGAGAAAGCGGTAGGAGAGGGTAGAGCAAGGTTCCCTTCCTGAATTCATTTATGGTGTGGACTAATGAGATCTGGATTCCATTTTGCACAAAAAACTTAAAGAGATTCTTTTTCTATTTAAATCCCAGCTTTTACCAAGGCCTGCCTCCCCTGGGAAACAGATCTCCTGCCACCTGCATCCTCCTGTGCTCCAGCCCCTCCTGCCTTCCTTCAGTCCTCACCTATCTTCCTCTTGTCCCCTTCACCTGGCAGGTCCCTTCAGGCCTTAGGAAAAATGTCCCTTCCTTGGAGAGTCTCTTCCTGAGTTCCCCAACCTAGTACATTCCCTCTCACTATCCCTGGTTTTATCCACCATAGAACTTAGTACAGTTTCCTTAAACTATTTTTGTTTGCATACTGCTTCACTGCCTGTCCCTGTACATAGGACAGGAGTGTCAACTGTCTCCTGCACTGGTACTTCACACCTGGCACAGGGCCAGCACAGAGGACCTTCATATGGAAGTGCTGCCTTGGGCTTAATAAGGAATTAAAAAATGGTGGAAGAAGGGGAGCATCTCCAGGAGTCTCTGATCACTCACTGATTATTAACAGTGAATAGATGGTTAATGCAAGTTTTCTAGTCATTTAGAAAAAGGGAGGCACATCCTCTGCCTTGGACCTTGGGCTTTGTCCCTGCCAGTCTTCAGGGCTCCACTTCTTACAGAACTGAATGTGAAGCAAGTCATGGAGTATTTGAGATGAACTGAAGAATCACTTGCTTTGGAGCCAGTTGAACATGGCTGTCACCGGCAGAGAGGGAGGGTCAGGTCCCAGGCAGACCTGGCCCAAGTGAGATCTTACATTCCCCCTGGTTGTTCACCAAATTTGGTATCAGTGAGAACAGTTAACTTTTCTTAAGTGTGTTCTAGGTTCCAGACACCCTGCTAAACCCTTTTCAGGTGTTACTGTGGTTGATTCTCACAACAATACTATGGGTTCGATGCTAACAGCATCTCCATTTACAGATGAGGAAGCTTGGGCCCAGAGAAGTTAGGCAACAGTTGCACAGCTAATAAGGGGTGAGGCAGAACTAAGGCAGCCTTGCAGTGGAGTCTGAGCTCACAAGCACCTCCCTGGAAGCCTTTGGGCAGACCTGAATCCTCTGGGCATTTCTCTGGGCAGGTAGGGTGGGGCAGCGAAGCTGCAGCATGTCCCCTCAGTGATTCTGCACACAGCCAAGCTCGAGGTCCACCGGCTCTGGTGGGAGAGGACTGAGACCTCCTGGCTCCCCCAAAGCTTCAGCAGGACTCTCCACAGGGGTGTTCGAGTTCTTTCTTCTGATCAGAAGGACCCTGGCCCATGTTCAAGGTGGCAACTCCCAACTTCATAATGAAGGAAGAGGACTGAACATTGTGTTCAAGATAGGCACCGAGGAACGTTCCCCACAAACTCCAAGGATCTGTGCTGTAATTTGGGTGTTGACTTAAAAGTTCTTCCCCCTGGTGGCACTACTGGGAAGTGGTGAGACCTTTAGGTAGTGCGCCTGGGGGGGTGGCAGGTACACCCTTGAAGGTGATTTTAGGAATCCTAGTCTCTTCCTCTTTCCTTTTTTCCCCCCTGGGACCCAAGGTGAGTTGCTCTGCCATGCACTGTCACCATAATGTGCTGTCTCAGCAGAGGCTGAAAGCAATGGGATCACTGCATCAGGGACTGGAATCTCCAAAGTAGTAAGCCAAAACAACTCTCTTATCTTTATAAGTTAATTGCCTCAGGCGTTTTGTTACAGTGAGATAACTGACTAGTACAGGTTGATCAGAATAAATGCAGCCAAATAATCAGGGAGTGAAGAGAACAAGAATAAAGGAAAACTCAAGGTTCAAATAAAACAACCATGCTGGAGGCTGCAAGGTAACAACAGTGGAAAGATCACAGGCTTTGGAGCCAGGAGATCCCATGGGTGAATCCTAGCACTATCTGCCTTTTCTTAGTGAGACCATCTTGGCACTTTGTGTGACCATTCTGAGTCAGCCTCCTCCACTCTAGAAGAGGGTTAGTAACATACCCAGAACGGGTGAAGCAATCCCAGCACTTTCTAAAACGAGTAGCTGAGAGGGAAGGAGGGTGCAGGAAAATAGTGAGGTTTGAGGAAACAGATGAAGGGGAAGGGTCTGCGGAGAACACCCCACTACCCCATGAATTCCTGGCAGCCTTTTACTTCACCCCAGTCTTAACAGGCTGGCTCCAAAGGACAGCATGTTTGTTTTAAAGGCAAGATGAACAGCCAGTCCTTCCTACCTGGTAACACTGCTTTTAGATACCTGCTAGAAAAAGCCAACCTGTAACTAGATACTTAGGATGACATGATATTGTAAGGACAGCGTCAGAAAGCAAAGTACCTGATCACTTTCTATGGGAGGGAATGTATTTTCTCACATTTCTGAATCTGGGAGACAGCAGCCTGCTGATGCTTTCTCAGGTAACAAGCTGCTTTTGCAGATTCACCAAACTCCATCCTGTCACTTACTCTGAAGAATCTTAGACCATATGACCTCCAGATCCTGGCTGTGTGTGCCCACTACCATCCTGCTTATTGGTGAATGTCATGTGAAATTCCAGTGTGGCTTGCAGAGCCAGTGACATCCCACACCACCCTGCTCATTCCTGACCACTGTGTCTAAGCATTCAAAGCAGGCACTACTTCAAGAAGCTTTTTGTCAGTAGGCAAGGTAGCTTTTCCATAAAGTCAGGACTAACAGAAACTTATTTCTGGTAGGGATAACAACTGTAATTATTGAATACTGACAATTTCACTCTGTCAGCATCTTTAGAAGGCACAGGAATTATCATTACCATTTTACAGATGAAGAAGCGGAAATAGCAAGGTTAAGCAATTTGCCCAAAGTCACCCCGTGTAGAAGAGGCTGGGCTGGCACTCAAAGCATCTGGCTGCACATCTCTTTCTCCTGCAGGAAGACAGTCCAGGACAGTTATCAGGACAGTTATCAGCACAGCTCTACAAGGCCACAGTACCCTGGGCAGGGGTTGGCTCTCAGTGCTCTCCCTGTCCTAACTCGCATGAGGGATAGGTGACTCTGATTGTTTTCTGTCCTCCTTCCCACTCCAAGCTCTGGATTTTGAAGTAATGGCCTGAAGTTCATTGCCCACCATCTACATTTCCCCATGGTCTCTGCTCTCAATGCTTAGGCTTCACCCAGCCCCAGGATGCCAAGCAGAGTTCATCTAAAAGCTTTAAAACTAAAAGCTGCTTCTTATCCTGCTAATTATCTGGAGCATCAGGGCCAACAATTCTCTGGTTGATGTTGAATTAAGTAAAAACCAAGGAGTTGGGTGCATTCAACAAGAGGCTGGTGATACTGGACCCTCACATGGCATCAAGGCACAGACCAAGCTGAAGGCCTTTCCTGTACAAGGCTCTCTCTCCTCCCCAGCTCTAGCCCCGGCCCAACGTCACCGCTGCATCTTGGGAGATTTGTCACTGTCACTATGACTCCTCCTGGAGTGTATGCCACTGATCTGCCCAGCCACCATGAGAACTTTCTGGAGAGTGGCATGTGTTTCAGCATTTGGATTCTAAAGTAGGATGGATGTGGGAGGGAGGAAACGGGAGCAAAAGTCGGATCAGAATGGGGTGCCGCAGCAGGCATGATGCTGATCCTCACAAACCAGGACCCCATACTGACCACAGCATCCAAAGGGCAGCCAGCGCTTGCAGGGGGTGTGTTCCGAGGCTTCTCAGGCTTCAAGTCATGCTCGGTA